CTAAGTATTGTAAGCTCGTACTCATTATTGGATTCTAGATGTAAAACGTGGATTGTTCGAGTTCTCCCTAGGGGTGTGCTCGACGGAACTGTCCGATGTAGCTCACTTTAAAGGTGCTTAGTGTCTAGTGGAAGACGAGCGCCTCCGAAAGCGTATTATTTTAGGCGGTTCTGCTACAATCGGTCCGGCCGACCTCGTACAAATTTTGATACGAATTAGTTATTAGTTAAATCTATTAAGATTAGTAGGGTTTCCTTGCTGTTTTTAGTAGATTTGCTAGTTATCGATCTTGTTATAATTGGTATTCTTACTATTTGTAACAACATTACCCCTTACCCAATTAAGATTGAAATGGATCGGCTTTATATCTCATCAAACTATCATCTTGTTGCTTTATCCTACTTAGATCTCACTTTGACGATGGTTTTGACTAGATTAGTCATTTTATTCCAATCTTGATCAAAGATAGCATGTGGTCAAGGCATGTTTGGCCTTAAGTAAGCTTGTTAGTTGATGAAATCTAGTCTAGAATTGCTATTATGACTGCCATCGATCCGGTAGACCCCCACTGTTAGCACTATATAGATCAGAAATTATCAATCAACAAGTTCGCTTATGGTTAAACATAGCATCTGATTGCATGCTATGTTTGCACCGGCTATTTAGCCGATCGCCCATGCTTTTCACTATCATAACGTGCTTTCATGATCTCGTTAAGTGTGCATAGATTCGTATTCTTTGAAGGTTTAATATGTTATCTTTATTATGACTGTCATTAATCCGGTCGAACCCCACTATTAGAGATAATAGGTTAGATTTGATAGGTTTATGGATCTGTCCATGTTTAATGGTTGAGTGCTTGCATGTTATGAGCTTACTTTCACTGGAATCGGCTATTTTAGCCGATAGCCTTCTTATTGAGAATGCACTGGCTATTCATATGTTTATACTTGTTTTTGTCTTGGTCAAAAGCTAGTATGATTCTCAATTAATATAAATGCTTTCATGTTTATCTGTCAAACCTTTACATGCTCTCATGATCATCGGCTGTTAAGATCTATACAATTAAATACCCGATAATTGTCGACATGCTTATTTTATTCGCTTTGCATCATGAACATGCTGGATATTGACTCTTTAGTCGATAGCCTTATTTCATCAACTACTTAGCCGCACATTTGGAACTATCTGGAGCAACACCGGCATGTTTCAACTTAAATTACTGATCAATCTTTCCTCATTGTCAATTATAGGGTTAAATTGACAGGCATGCCTCAGGTCATGACCATCCGGTCCTGTGTTTCCCTAAGCCCAGGGAGAGCTCGGGATCTGCTCCACGCAGTTTCTCCTGGATTGCTGCGTGTGACAACGCGACCGACACGCTCCACGTTTTTTCACGTCAACACCGAGTTGGTGGGATTTAACGACGTTGTTTTTTATAGTAAGCAACATGCTTATCTGGTGACTTTGTCAGTATTGATATCTATTGTTAGTTTAATCTCTGGAAGTGCTTATAAAAGTAGGGTATGCACATGCATGCGTGTGTTCGTATATGTGTATGTAATTCATAAAAAATAACCTTCTTTTCCTAGGAAAAGGGTCAAGACTCAAGACATCAAGGCTAGCTGGGCAAGGAAATCAAATCAGTTTGCCCTTAGTTCTATAATTTCATTCTGCTCAACGATAATAATAATTTGACAAGAGTCATGACTTTAGACCGTGCCATTTTTAGGGCCACCATGAAATGGCCCAAAGCACAGTATGATGCGATAAATTTTGGGTTGTGTCGATACGATATGAATGTGAGGGTCATTGTCGTGTTGTGCCATGCCTAGGAGCTTAGCATGATGGTCTATATGTGGCACGGACGCATTGTTGGGCGAGCCAACACTGCGTGAAAATGACCCATCTATCAATATTTGTTTTCTATGGGGTCCAAATAACCCTAGTCATTCTGAGGAACACAAAATGTGTCTTTTTCTGTGCATGGGATGCCTAACTATTTGTTATTTGGAAAAGACACATGCTAGTAATCTAGAGTAATCTAGGCATTCTCACTCACGATATTCTCTAGAATAGTCGTGAAGCACACAAATAGATCTCGGCGTAATGAAAATTGTACAAGCCGATCAGCAGTCGAAGAATATTAGTATAGTATTTGCCAAGTGAGGGTTGTGCTTGGGCTAACACAGCATGAGAAGAGGGCCGATGGGCCATGGATTGTGCTCAAGGGTGAATCTAGTGCTTGGTTGTCCATGGCTCGAGCCCTTTATCGTCATTGAAAGTGTGGAGACCATCATAATCCCCCTACAAGTTTGTAGTCATTGAAACTTAGAAAGAAGGGATAAATGCAGAAAATAAGGAAGAGGAGCCCCTCCTGGCACAAGTTTCTAGAACTACCACTGGTCGCTTGTGCCAAAGAAAAGGTTTGTCATGCCAATGGCAAACATTCTTTGCATTCCTATGAGTCATGGTTTGAAGCAGCACAAAGCACGAGAATGCTAGATTGTTAGAGCATGACCTAAGTTCATCCTCTATATTTGAGTAATTCCTTGCTTGTACATAAGTGGTAGTAGGTGCATGTGCTTCCATAATGCTAGGGACATAATAGGATACATACCATAGTTGTTCTCTAGGCAGTATGCATGCTTGCCTACTCTTATAAATTCCAATCATTAAAAAACTAGTCATCCATGGAATTATGGTTGGTGCCACTACGAAGTGACAAAGTTTAGGATGATCCCACGTTCAAAAGTGATTTCATATCCATGTCCATGCCACCATGAGTATAGAGACCCAAGAGTAGTGATCATGGGCCCCATTCTAATGACATGTCAAGAAACCACTACGACCAATACTAACTGGGCACGAAAAATATCTTAGCAACACATTGTTAAGTGTATCCTAGTTTCACCCCACACTCTATGTGCTAGGAGACTATGAATAAGGGATGACATGCGAAAGGATAAATAGGAAACCCAAGACATTGGATCAAGGTCTTGCAACCTGACATACTATGAGATAATGCAACCAAAGAAGGGTGGCAATGGGCTAGGGGAGGACATTCACCAAGCCACAACGAGGGCAAGATAAAAACTTAATATGGCAAACAGAAGATTCACACGAATTGCATACCAGTTGACATAACCTTTTGTCATTACCAAGAAGATTCACACGAATCGCAAAAGGCACACATGTTGGTAGACACCGTGAACATGCAACTTCCCCTATAGTGATAATTTAATCGCGAGGGCCTAGCCCCCTCTAAGCAGGACACCGATGATGAGTCCAAGAAGGCTATCTAGTGGTCTTACTAGGTGCTATGCCAAATTTGTTGTATCACTACAGATGTAGGCGACATAGAGGTCATGCTATGAGCATCGCATAGCCTTAACCTTGTAAGAGGAACTGTTTGCAAACCCCAAATGTCTGAATGGAAGACCCGACCATGTCCATCCTCAACCATGTGCCGCTGAGCCATGTGAAGACGTGGAGGTTAAGCATATGTGAACCTAAGATTTTCCCTTGCAGGATGAGTTAAATATTTGATCTAAAATAGCCAAATTCATCCTAAGGAAGCCCAACTGTGACAATCCTTGGCCACTCAAAGTTGTATCTCCATGTGATTTTGTTGCAACATAGGTAGAAAGGAGGAGAGGAGGGGAGGATACGACATAGAAGGAGGGATGAAGAAGGTGCACAACTTGTCATTGCCTAATGGCGAGGATGGCCTGAATGAATTGAAGGTGGTTCTCTTGGTTGGGGCCACACCTCCTCTTACCATGATTCATTTGAAGCTCCGTTATTGTCCTAGGTGGTCGCGAGGTAGACAGACATGGGTTGTATTGTGAGGGCGAGGCACTAGAATGTTAGCCATGGAGGATGAAATAATAATTGTAACATTAGATGTTATGGTAGTAATGACACTTGAGAATAAGAGTTGGTGGTGGTGAAGATAGGAGACGATATAAGATGTTTGATACTAGAAGAGTAGATATTTAGGAAAATCTTTATACAACGTGCCCGAGTCGCAACCACAAGCGAAAACATGCAACACATGTCAACGCACGATCGGACCATCTACATCTTCCTCCTCCTGATCATCTTCTTCTTCTCCCCAACTACAGTCTCAGGGATTTGGGGGGTTCCAGGTCTATACCCAACGACCTTAGAAGGGAGAGAGGCCCGACGGTGGAGGCGGTTTGATGGGTGATGAGCAAGGCGGCGGGGCACCACACGAGTGGGCAGTGTTTGGATATTTGGTGGGCAGGGCAAGCAGCAGCGACAATTGACCACAACATTAGGGAAGGGTGGCGCTATAGCGACGGTGGTGGGACGTGGGTGGTGAAGTCGTTGGCGGGAAAGGCAGCGACTAAGGTGGTGGTGATGGGGCAACGTAGTGCGAAAGGAAAGAGAAGGAAGAAGAAAACGAAGCTGCAACACAACAATAATAGGTGCTCGGTGAGAATGCTTGCGAGAGTGCTAGCAACCTAGGTGGCAGTGGAGGAGGAGCATGAGGAAAACGAAGTACTTCTAACGCTCGCACGTTGATTAAGGGTCCTCATTTATTTAGTCAAGAGGACAATTACGAGGGAACGAGACCTTGTAATCTGGTTTATATAATTATGTAACAAATAATATTTAGAATATATCTTTCAATTTTTGTAATGTAAAGTAATGTATATACCTAAGTAAGATGAAAAAAAATCTAAGTGCGATAGAACAAGTCGACCACGAGAGGAAGTTGAAGTAGTTGCTGAGCGAAGCAGAAAAAATCCTATCAATTATAGCCATATATACATAGAACCACATTATTGAGGAGTCTTGCGCGTCCACCCCTGCGCTTTTCACTAGTTTGGGTTTGGATTCGTAGTTTCGGACACCCTGAGGCCTGAGCTCCGCCGATTCCTTCCTCCTTCACCTCCCCTCCTCCCCCAGCCGCCGCCGCCTCATCTCATCGCCATCGCCCAACCCCCCGCTCCGTCCCCCGGGGATTGTCGATGGCGGCGCCGGCGATATGGCAGCCGCAGGAGCAGGGGCTCCACGAGATCTGCACCCTCCTGGAGGCGCACATCTCCCCCAACTCCGACCAGGCCCGCATCTGGCAGCAGCTCCAGCAGTACAGCCAGTTCCCGGACTTCAACAACTACCTAGTCTTCATCCTGACCCGCGGAGAGGTGAGCCTTCCTTTCCTCCTAGTGTCACCTTCACCTCAATCGCTCGCTGGCTTCTTCCGATCGCCACGCCGTCAGCAGAGCCTAGGGTTTTCTCCGATGCTACTAGAGATTTGAAGCTTGTTGTTTGACTCCATAGACCCCTAGGTCGCCACTGGAGTTTAGCGCTTGGATCGCACGTGCTAACTTCTAATCCAAATCGATATTGACATCCTGGTGTTTTAGTGGAAATGATAACGTACGTTGTGTGTGCTATTTGTGTACACACAAAGGTGGAAAAGATGCGCTGGCAATCAAGCTAAAATTTCAGTGCCGACCTAAGGCTACCTATCTATGTAGCATTTCAGTTTCATTCGGTGGTAATTTGAATTGTCGTGTTGTGGCGTCAGAGGTTCAAGTAGGGCTTAGCCTACGCAGATATGTGCCGATGCACAGTAAGAGATGAGAGCTTGTTTCCATGCTAATCTTTTATGTCTGTCCTACTTGCCGCTGCATCATTGCTTATTGTGGTAATGATTTCTCAAATTGCCCAGAATATTTAAACTGCAAATCATGCCATATTTTTAGAATCCTCGGGCAGTCATGTGTCCACGTCAAAATCTTGCTCAGATGGCTAGTTATTTGGCCTACTTGAGTTCTAGTAGTGTTTGAGTTTCGACTGGTGATGCTCCCACAGAGATTTAAGTAACCATTGGAGGTGAGTGACGGCTTGCTCCCACTGTCTAAAACATTTCCTTGTAACTTACTTAGAGATACAGATGATAGGAAATATCTATACTTTTATGCTTTGAGGGGTTGGAGGGAGACCACAGCAGAAACCATATGGTAACGTTGGCGTGATCTAGACTCTGGAATGATGATGGAAAAAACACATTCAAAGGACTGCCACTTTGACTTTCTGCCTACGGTTTGTATTTTGGTTATTACCGAATTTAGTTTCACGTGTGATCGGCAAATATAAGAAACAGTGATAAACAATGAATCGAATCAACGACTGTGTCATTTAATCATGGAGTTATTGTGGGATGAAAATTTTGGATTGTGTGCTTCCCTTGTGTTCTTTTCCTCGCTTATTCGTTCTAAAACCTTTTCGACATTGGGATGTCTTTTACAGGTGGCCATGCATGTAGTTCATAAATTATCAAACTTGTTATGGAACAAAATTCTCTTTTGATATGACTATGCTTGTAGGTCCAGCTATTTTGTCTTCGGCATATCTGACATCTGGTGTTTGTACCAGGGGAAATCTATTGAAGCTAGACAGGCAGCTGGTCTACTACTGAAAAACAATTTGCGAACGACTTTCAGTTCGATGCCACCTCCGTTCCAGCATTATGTTAGGTCTGAGCTGTTACCATGTATAGGGGCAACCAATAGGGCAATTAGATCCACAGTTGGAACAGTGATCAGTGTACTTTTCCAAATTGTACGAGTTGCTGGATGGATTGAGTTGTTTCAGGCACTCCATAAGTGTTTGGATAGTAATGACCTGGATCACATGGAAGGTGCTATGGATGCGATATACAAGGTAATGTGCACTCCTGTCATACTAGGGGTTCCATGCATTAAACCAGCATGATGTACTGTATCTTACAATTTGCGTTCTTAAAATCTTTCTTTCTGATGACAGATCTGTGAGGATGTCCCTGAAGAGCTCGATGTTGATGTTCCTGGTTTGTCTGAACGACCGATCAATGTGTTTATGCCGAGAATACTGCAGGTCTATATCCAACATCCAGAAATAGCCAATTACATACCTACGCAATTGACACTTTGACTTCCTCTCTGTAAATGGTCATATTTATGTCTTCGTACACCAGTTGCCTATAATTCAGCTAAGCATGCATCTGTGGTGGCATGTAGATGCTTGAACAGTCTCGTTTAACATATTTATGGGGTTTCATTCTGATACATGCTGCTTTTTTTTTCTTCCTCCAGTTTTTCCAGTCACCACATGCTACTTTGAGAAAACTATCGTTGGGTTGCGTAAATCAGTACATAGTAGTGATGCCATCGGTAAGAGTCCTAGCCCCATCTTCAGCTTATCTTTATCAACGCTTTTGACTCACAGTTAGATTTGCACAGGCACTCTACATGTCTATGGATCAGTATATTCAGGGATTATTCAACCTTGCAAAGGACCCTTCAGCAGATGTTCGGAAACTGGTATTCACCGTAGATAATTACTTATCGTACTAACTTACTTGTTATAATGAAATTGCACATTATGGTGTGCTACTTATTTGCAAGAGAATAAGATTCAAATGCATACAAATGTAATTATTTCATAATTGAAGCAGGATTTATTTTCTAGGCTTATAGCTGATTTGTGAGCAAGCAAAATAGCAATAATGATTTTTCAATGGAATATATGAACTTGTTAATTCTCCTTGTTTATTTGATAGGTTTGTTCAGCCTGGGTTCAGCTCATTGAAGTTCGTCCATCAATTCTGGAGGTGTGTTACGATTGCTGTCTATTAGACTTTTTTCCTGCTCTCACCTAATATGTATTAGTGATGTAATGTAACTAGTGCTCCAAACTTCTCCATTTTCCTATTTTCCCACAATTTTTCTGATGATGTACACATTTTTGTCTTGACTCGTATTAGTTTGCTTATTCCCTTGATGTACTGGATCTAACATTGGATATTGAAACTGCAGCCACATCTTAAAAATGTTACTGAATTGATCCTGCAAGCTAATAAAGATTCAGATGATGAAGTCGCCCTGGAAGCTTGCGAGTTCTGGTATGTTTTCAGTAAGTGAGTGTAATGAGGGCTGCACAACGAATGCACCGATCCTTTAAAAAATATAGAATGCACCTAGTAATGTACATTGACTATCTGAATCTGAGTTATATTGGTAGTACTAATGGGGCACATACTGTGATGGACACTTTACAACAATTTAATTAACTGTTGGTTCTAACTTTTGAAGTTCACAAATTGTTTTTGCTCAAATCCAAAACTAAAGTCTGAATAACTAACTATATTGCTAGGAATTAGAAGCCTATTATTCTCATTTTTTAAACTGTTAAATCTTTCAGGTCTGCATACTGTGATGTGAGTATGCCACCTGAAGGTTTACGGGAGTTCTTGCCACGCTTAATCCCGGTATATGTCTTTCTTGTACTTCAAATTAGTGTAGCTGTACCCTTGGTGCTGGATATAATTTCTTACATTCCATTTTTTTTCCTAGACTTTGTTGTCGAACATGGTATATGCGGATGATGATGAGTCTCTTGATGATGCTGAGGTGTGGTAAACTTTTAATATCTTTCATGTTTGATCCAGTGGATCATCAGTGGCAATATCTTATTCTGATAAATATTATATATGTACATTTTATTTCAGGAAGATGAATCCTTTCCAGACAGGGACCAGGTTGGTTTTATTCTTTTTGAGCAATATTCATAACCAATAATGGCCTAATTTTATGAATGGCTCCATCTGTGGCCATCCATCGTAGTGGTTAGACCTGCGTCGGCAGAATGAAGTGACCACATTATAGCTTTAGCTCATTTCAGGTCTATCAGTGAGATCTAATTTTTGGGCGGGGGTGGAGTGGTGCATCAGCAATGCATTGACCAAGCTGATTCTATTTCAGGATTTCTTTTTTGTTTTGCTGTATTTTACTTAATAACTGTTGGCTGGCTTTGTCACTCAGGTGTGTATCACCACACCTCTCACTCACACACACATGCTGGAGGTTGAAGAGGAGGAGATCAGAGCACACACACACATGAACACACGTGAATGAGCTGCTGAACTACTCTGTCTGCAGCTAGCCACTTCCTTCATATAGAAGCAAAGATTACAGAAGTCAAACTAAGGGCCATACTGATACTGCCCACTACTTATTACTGTAGCCATACTACGTACTATATGTCACTATAGCCATACTCCCAACTACTGCTGTCCTATTGACAGGAGGAAAGGGAGGGAGCAGTCACTATTCCTATGCTCCTATGACAAAAGAAAGATGTGAGAGCAGTAGAATATCTAACAACAACAAGAAAGCTTAACCTTGCAGCCATATACTGCTGAATTGTAAACGCACATAGCATATTGCAGACTTGTCTGTAGTTAATTCTTTTAGAAGTCGGTTAACACTATCAATTGTAAAGAATAATGTGAGCCTCTTCCAACATTTATTTACACAACATGTAACAGGATTTGAAGCCCCGCTTCCATGCCTCTCGATTGCATGGATCAGAAACTGGAGATGACGATGTGAGTTTAGAATTTGTTTCTTTTTAAGCCATTTGGTTTTGATGGCTTTCGCCATCACTTTACTACCTCATCTATGTTTAAGTGTTAAAAAAAAATACTGGTGTTTCGAACAGGATGATGATGATGCTGTAAATGTCTGGAACCTGCGGAAGTGTAGTGCTGCTGGGTTGGATGTTCTCTCTAATGTGTTTGGTGACAGCATCCTTCCAACTTTAATGCCATTGATTGAGGTAACTTGTACTTCTGATTTTTTTTTTGGAACTGTACTTCTGATAGTTTAGTAGTGGTGCTTTTTGTTGAAACAATTACTCAAATGGCCTGAACTGGAGCCTTTTGCATGGCTCGTGGAAAAGCATTGTGGGTTTATGATTTCCTTATTATAGCCCTATTGTTCAGGCTCTGTGTTTAGTTGAAGACAATGTGAAACTCCTCAATAGTCACTGAAAGTTATTATTATTAGCACTAGTCAAATAGCATGGCTTGAAAGCCCTAAAAGCCATTCCTGAAAGTTTCCTAGTCATCAAAAGTGCAAAAGTAATTCATAATGTAAAACTATTATTGCAAGGTTTCTTCAGAACACATTTCCTGATTATTTGATGGTTGGATCTGTCCAAGTGTATATGCCTTTGCATTACTGTTAGTATGTGCTGCTCTTAAACTTGCATCTTTTGGTTAAATATACACCATTTTCTGTAATTTGCAGCAAAACTTGGTTCGAACAGATGATGATTCTTGGAAGGAGAGGGAAACTGCTGTTTTGTGTCTAGGCGCTATAGCAGAGGGGTGCATTAGTGGTCTATACCCGCACCTTCCTCAGGTAAATTTAATGAGTAATGGATAATTGTGGCTATGTTCATATGCGCTGCAAGAATAGTAGTCAAATATCTTTTCTTTTCTATAAATGATTAAATGTCTCATTGTGGTAGATGACGACGTGCTAAATCTTCTTTATACCACCATAAACGCTAGTATTACATTTATTAAAGGCAGCTCTATAGACTTAATGCTTGATTATGGTACGAATCCTTGAGAACATAGCTATGATTGCTACAATATGTGGTGATTTTAAAATGCCTATTGCAGGGGCATTCTATTGTTGCAATCTTAGTATTTTCTGGATAAATCGAAACTCAAAATATTCATTATTATTATTACTCAACTATTTTTATTAGATTTGTTGTCCTCTCTGCAATTGTGGGTTATTGTGATTTTTCTTATTCTCTATACTGTACCACAATGCATCTTGCTGTATATGTTGTACGTTTTATAAGATATCTTCATTGAAATGCAGATTGTTGCCTTCCTAATCCCCCTTTTTGATGACAAATTTCCTCTTATACGGAGTATTACATGTTGGACGCTCTCTCGATACAGCAAATTCATTGTTCAGGTAACATGGCACATTTGTTCCCTGATATTATTCTTATTCCTTCCATTCTAGGGTTTCAGCAGAAGTTCATTATGTTCAAATCATGTTTTAGGAATGTGGAGTTGACATTTATGCATCATCTTTTGGAGAAGTGTCACTTTTGCATTTTTAAATTTGTACATTATGGTTCTTATAGAACTGTATTCTTGTCTCCAATGCAGAGCCTTGATCATCCAAATGGACGTGAACAATTTGATAAGATTCTCATGGGATTGCTCAGAAGGATATTGGATACTAACAAAAGAGTGCAAGAGGCTGCTTGTTCGGCGTTTGCTACTCTTGAAGAGGTTATTGACATATTTTAGTAGGGGCTATTGCGTTCTTGTCCCTATTTTGAACCCCAATTGTGATTTTACCCCCATTCCATTTTATTCCACTTTGTGTTTTTACCCCTGCTTTTCCAAAACGAAGGTTCAGTTTACCCCTACTCCGTGAACAGCAGGTAACGGTGTTAAAAAAGTTGACAGATGACAAGTTTGCCCTTCCGAATATTACGTTTTTGCCCCTATTTCAAACCCCAATTGTGATTTTACCCCCACTTTCTTCCACTTTGTGTTTTTACCCCTATTTTTCCAAAACGAAGGCTCCGTTTACCCCAATTCTTAACTCAGTCAAAGCAATTAAAAATTAACAAAAGCCCTGTGAAAAGACAAACTTACACCTTATCTCTCAGTCGTCGCTCTCAGGGTCGTCCCTCTCAATGCTAGCGGTGGGCGGTAATTTGGCTGGCGGCGGGCGCGTCGGGCGTCGGTAGTAGCCAGTGAGAGCACGTCTTGACGGCAGCGGAGGAGGAACCTTGGTGGTCTTGGCAACAACTAACGAGCGTAGCCTTGACCAAGCAGCAGTGGCTCACGCTGCTGGCGTGGGTGCGCACCGCCAACACGCTGCTTGCTGCTTTGGCTTGGTGCTTGGCTTAGGTCAGTTTGGGCGGCGGCTCGCGACGCCGCCCTCGCCGCCAGACACCGCCTGACGACGTGCCCGCTGCTTGGCCTTCCGCCGCCACCGCACCTGACCATCCGCTAGAGTTGAGAGAGAGAGGCGGGTCTTGGCTCCATGGTCGGCTTTCACGAGACGCTGGCCTTTGACGCCGGCCAAGCCTTGCAGCGCCGCTCCAAGCAGAGCCAGCGGTGCTGGCTGCGCGCCACATCAGCTAAGCCGCGCACACACGCGCCGCCTCCGCTTGTCAGCATCGCCCGCTTGCCGCCCGCCTGGACGGCCCGATGCTGCCTTTACGCCACCACGCCGCGCAGACGGCAAATTACTGCACGCCGCTAGTGTTGAGACGGACGACCCTGAGAGAGACGACCGAGAGATAAGAGGTAAGTTTGTCTTTTCACAGGGCTTTTGTTAATTTTTAATTGCTTTGATCCGGATGTAGATAACTGAGTTAAGAATTGGGGTAAACGGAGCCTTCGTTTTAGAAAAGTAGGGGTAAAAACACAAAGTGGAAGAAAGTGGGGGTAAAATCACAATTGGGGTTTGAAATAGGGGTAAAAACGCAATATTCGGAAGGACAAACTTGTCATCTGTCAACTTTTTTAACACCGTTACCTGCTGTTCACGGAGTAGGGGTAAACTGAACCTTCGTTTTGGAAAAGCAGGGGTAAAAACACAAAGTGGAAGAAAATGGGGGTAAAATCACAATTGGGGTTCAAAATAGGGGCAAGAACGCAATAGCCCCATTTTAGTATGCTTTCCTGTTTTCAGGGAATTGCGTAAGAATTAATATTATGCATGCAAGTAACTTTGCAGATCCTCATCTGTACATATTGGTTTTTTGCTTTCAGGAAGCTTCCGAAGAATTAGTACCCCACCTGGAAGTAATTTTGCAGCACCTCATGTGTGCCTATGGAAAATACCAGGTTCTTCGAAATTTAAATAATCTTATTTTGTGCATGCACTGATTGTTATCAAGCACTGCTATGTCAGCTCTCACATTCTTATTTCTAGTTTTATGTGTTGCTTCTGAGCAGAGACGAAATCTCCGGATACTCTATGACGCCCTTGGTACCCTGGCTGATGCTGTTGGAGCAGAATTAAATCAGGTGCAAAATTTTCACAAACTTTCACTGGTTTCTTCTGTATATCGTGAAAAATCATTTCGGATCTTGATGCCATGTTCTCTTGTATGTCGATTCCTTGTGAAGATACTAATTCTTCTAAGTTGCTATGCAGGCGAAATATCTAGATGTATTTATGCCACCTTTAATCACGAAGTGGCAGCAACTTTCCAACTCTGACAAAGATCTATTTCCACTCCTTGAATGCTTTACATCTATTGCACAGGTACTGTGGTTTTAATCTGTGGAAACCATCTATGTAGTTCTTATCTTACCTGGAAATCATCTATTGCCACAGTTTGGAGTAGGAGCTGCTTTTAGTTGCCTATTGTGGTTCGAAACTAGAAGAATGTGAATAATTAGAAGACTTTCTACAGTTTTGGAAATTTTTTTTCCCGAGCTGTTCCTAAGATGCTCATATACAATATTGTTGGGACTTCAATACCTTATGTTTAATCTTCAGGCATTGGGACCAGGATTTGCTCAGTTTGCGGAACCAGTGTTTCAAAGGTGCATCAATCTTATCCAATCGCAACAGTTGGCAAAGGTCTGTCTAATCTTTGCCTTCTATAACATATTTGAGTCATGTTCTCTGTGAATCGCTCATCTCATCCAAGTATGCTACTTTTTCATGCAAAGTCCAGTGTCACAATTATTTGTTTTTTGTGAGACCTGATCAGTGATTTTTTCTTTTTCCTTCTCATTTCAACCACAGTTTTATTGTACAGCCATACTAGCGCAATGATGTACTTACTGCTAATACCAAATTTCTATAAAAAATGAGACCATCTAGTTGCTGACTAGATGGTTGGTTAACATTGACTGCTCAATCTTGCTTATCATGTCAGATACATATCAAATTGGAGCTGTTCAATCGTGCAAAACACATTATTCTAGCTGTTTCACAGAATTGGTGAAACTTATTATATGATGTGTCATGGTTCATGGAAGGAATTAGATGTTCACCTTAGTGGTTACGTGGCCCGTGAGCTGTTTCTATGTATTTTGGTCACTTGTAAGCACAGAAATCGTCTTCCAACATTGTTATGTGCTTTCTGAGTACCCTGGATCTTGGTCATCTGAAAAAACAATAAATATGATAAGCTACAAGGTCAAGTCACATATACGACTCATACATTTTCTTTTCCTTTATGATTTCCCTCCAATGTGCAGATTGATCCTACTGCAGCTGGTGCGGTGTATGATAGAGAATTCATTGTTTGTTCGTTGGACCTACTGTCAGGACTTGCAGAAGGTCTTGGCGCTGGTATTGAAAGTCTTGTAAGTTCTTGTCTTTGGATATGATATCATTTTTCCTTCCAAGTACATTTTAGACATGATCACATGAACACACCACTCACATACCCACATGGGTGCGTCAGGGGCGGAGTTAAATTATTTAGTCATTGGGGACAATCATACTATCATATTGGGGCCATGCTGTAATATGTACTTAGAGGAGGAATTCGCTATTATTATAGCAGAACTATAGTGGATTAATCAAAAGCCATCGGGGCCAGCTGGCTCTGATGGAAGCACGTAGCTCCGCCCCTGGGGTCTGTCCTAGCGCACATCTAAACTAGGGAGGGCTACCCAGAATGAACCCACATGCACACGCTGGGTCCTGAGGAATGGTGAGCCCTAAGATCTGAGTGCGTTCGATCCTAAACAACTGACCACACTTGGTTCTCTTTCAGTAGTATCTGTTGCTTTTGCTGTATACACATAAATCTCTTATTCCATTTGAACTTGTTAATGTCAGACAATACATTGATTGTCCCAATATGTACTGTATTGTTTACAGAAATTATCAGTTCTATTACATGGGGCTGTACCATGTGTGCTGAGTAGATTGTCCAGTTGGTAATTTTGCCGGGTAGCTGAGTTTAGGCATTTTGTCTGTTTAGCATGTATCCTGGATGAATGTTAGGTGACTCCTCAGGTTTGAGATCTCACTTCTCACCAGGATGGCTGGATATGTTTTTCTTTTCCATCTGGAAAGAGTTAGTTCCACTTGTTATGTTGGCCTTACTGATTACTGTCATATAGCAAAGTTTGAGTTTATTAAAACTAAGTGCTGATGCTTGGCCATGATGCTTTGTGCGGTAATGTAATTGGATTAAAACCAGAGCGCAAGTATGAGACCAATTGTTTGTGGGAGTAAATTGAGCCAAAATTATGTTTAGGGGGTTAATCATACAAAGTGGATTGTTCAAGGTTGTAAAATGGCCTTTTTTCATCTATCTATCTATACCTAGTATAGTTTTAAAGTACGATAACACACACACACAATCTGTCTATCCGTCCCTCGGTCCGCCATCTCTTTTACCTTTGTAGCCTTGAGTTTGGGCTTGCAAAAACCTTCGGCACACCATTCATCTCATGGCCTGGCTGCCCGAGCCTGTGTGCGTTGTGGCACACCTATGGGCATGTGGTTCGCCTTTCACCTTTCTTAAACTCAGAGCAGGTGCACACAATAGCCACCCATTTAAGTTGAGCGCTGAACCTCCCTAGGGCCAGCATAGTGTCCATGCTCAATTCTGTTCAGGTGAACAGTGCACGCGTGTTCCTGTTCACAACGGGGCTCAGGATGGGTATGTTGCTCGTTTGTTGGTTAGAGATTAGATTAGATCAGATTGCATTGTTTTCTATTTCCTTAATCTAAGAGAGGTTTATTAAAGGTCAAGTCTTCCCATCTCATCAAGCAAAAAATATATTGAAGTTCCTAGTTATCTCCCTGTCCTTGTGGTATGGTCACACTATTGGGGTTTAGAGCCAAGTAAAGTATGGCCATGACATCTACACTTTTTTGAAGGGCAATTACTGCTTTTCCTTTGTTTGCTGATTATATATACTTAAAATTTTAGTACCAAATATGCAGAAGTTTGATATGCCATCTTTATTTTGTTGTAGGTTGCACAGAGCAGTTTGAGAGATCTACTTTTGCAATGCTGCATGGATGAAGCAGCTGATGTTCGACAAAGTGCCCTTGCCCTTCTTGGAGACCTTTCTAGGGTTGATCGCATACCACCATAGTTCATATTATCTTGAGATAATTTTCACACTACAAAAAAATTAACACTCTTTGTTACACTAGGTTTGCCCAATACATTTGCATCCACGCCTTCAAGAATTTCTTACTGTTGCAGCAAAGCAACTGGTAAGCATATTCTGTGTGGTCTATATGTTGTTATCATAATTATCTTGATTCATTTCTCACTCATAACTTCGCTGCAGAATCCTCAGTCTGTGAAGGATGCGGTATCAGTAGCTAACAATGCCTGTTGGGCTATTGGAGAATTAGCAATCAAGGTTAGTGCCTACTTTTATACCATTTGGTTTAACCCAGTGCTGAATTCTTTTGCAATCCATAAAATACCTTTTTGTTTGTTTTGATGCTGTTAAAGTTCAAACTGTTTGGCACGGGTTTCCACTTGGTATATGTCATTTATAAAGTTGCAGTGCACCGGCCCCACCACAGAGCTTATTTCTTTGACATATCAGTACTGATTGGTATTTATGAAGTTCCGTATACATATATGTGACTGATTTTATTTGTTTCCAGATTGGCAAAGAAATTGCACCTGTGGTGATCACTGTTGTTTCTTGCTTGGTTCCCATTCTAAAATCCCCAGAGGTTAGTGATTTTTAATGTTTCTTGTGTAATCACGTTTCATTTAAGATTTTAACTAAGTGGCTAGTTCTTTTTTTCCTTCACATTGACAGGGTTTGAACAAGTCACTTATTGAAAATAGTGCGATCACTCTTGGGAGGCTTAGCTGGGTCTGTCCAGACATTGTGGCCCCTCATATGGAACATTTCATGCAAGCATGGTGCAATGCCTTGTGCATGTAAGTGCGCCCCTTTTCTGGAGTCTTTAAGCACATCCAAAGGATTAGAGAAGGAAGGATGGTTTTCAAGTGTTTTATCTATGGTTTGTTGCATGATGAATGGAACTTGTTTCTTTGGTGTGATCCAGGATCAGAGATGATTTTGAGAAAGAGGATGCTTTTCATGGACTGTGTGCAATGGTATATCCAGACCTCCTGGTTATGGCTGCATTCTTCCTATCTGGGTGATTTTCTTCTGAAATCTTATTTGGTTACACCAGGTGGCGGCAAACCCTACAGGAGCCGCTGGTTCATTAGCTTACATCTTCCAGGCCTGTGCAAGTTGGACTGTGAGTTGCGATTCCTATTGGATTGGGAGTCCTTTTTAGGTTCACCTATAGCCCTATTGAATTCAATGCGTGCTCTTTGATCTGTGTACAGGAGATAAAAAGTGAAGGTCTTCACAATGAAGTGTGCCAGATTCTGAATGGCTACAAGCAGGTAAAGCTGGCCTCTTTACCCGCCGTTGCATTTGCATTATGTGATGACAAGGATGATAAAATAACGGTGGTAAACTGTTTTTTGTCTAGCTGCTTGGAAACGGTGGGTGGGAACAATGCATGGCCACCCTGCAACAAGATGTTGTGCAGAAATTAGCTAGATATGGAGTATGATGGCAATCGAGAAGCAAGCTTGTGTGGTTTATTCACCTCATAGACCATCTTTATGGTGGAGACAGAGGAGCAGAAAGGGCTATGAAAATGTATGTCTGTGTCTGTCTGTGAGGGGTCGTCAAGAGTGCGTGCTGCTGATGCATCTTACATATGTGGCACTTGAGAATCGATTCGGTTCGTTGGGTGGTTGGTTGATACTCCATTGTCCATTGTATACTGGTCTACTAGTTGGTGCACATCACAGCATTTCCCCAGCGGGAGTGAGTGAGATGGACAAAACATAGTGGTAAAAGGGGGTGTTAATGTTATTGCCTGCCGCAACGGGATGGTGAGAATGTCTGTCAGTTTGTATTGGTTGGTTGGGTCAGTGGACATGGTTTTGTTTTTGTCATTCCACTGGCCAAACCCACCCTCTTGCTCGCCTCGCCCCGGCAACATTGAGAATACGGGAAGGTTTTGTAGCGTGTAATTCTTTTTTTGGTTTATTACTAGGTGTAGGATTGTTTTTGAGTCTTGTTTGACAGGAAGGGTTTGTATGAAATCAATTCATTGCCCAATAATAAAAGATCGATGGGGTTTGTTTCTCTTGCGACTGCACTTGCGTTTCTCCCATTGGTTTTGGTAAGTACTCCCTTCTCAAAATAAGCGTTGATATGGTAGTTGTGCTGAGTCAAACATTTTTAAATTTAACTAGGTTTATATATATATATATATATATATATATATATATATTTGGTTAATAAAGTTAAAAGCGTTTGATTTCTCGGGAATCGACGAGTGAGTGCACGATAAAGTTAAAAGTGGCAGTGGTCCTGTTTACTTGTGTTATAATTCGTACTTTTTGACTTGTCTTTTTAGTCGGAATAGTATTTTTCTTTCAAATCAAATCAGTCAGAATAATGTTTCAGCTTGTTTTTTAGGCGAAGTGAACGGGCCAGGCGAAGTGAACGGGCCAGAGGGGGTATGCTTCAGTATGAGGTTTGCTTGTTTCTCAGTTGGCATGTACGTATGTATCGCTTTGAGTTTTGTACAAAGATGCACATGTCTAAGTTTGACACAAAGCAATGCCAGTGACTCAGTGAGACAGAGCGGGTGACACTGCCACACGATGACACGAACGGAACGAGGATAAAGGTCTGGACTCACTGGACTCCCCGCCCCCGAAACCCAACAACAACATCAGCAACAAAAACAGAACCTTATCGGCTTATCAATCCCCTGACCCTGAGCACGGACCCCCGTCGACAACGAGCAGAGAGAGAGAAGGGCAAGGAAAGACAGGATGCTGCTGAGCTCCCCCTTCGTGTCCGTGTCGGTGTCGCCGCCGCAGTTCTCCCAGCCTTGCTATGGCGCTCGCCCCGCGGCGCTGCGGATCGAGGCGGCCAGGCAGCTGACGGGGCGGGTGGTGACGACCAAGGCGGACAAGACGGTGGGGGTGGAGGTGGTGCGCCTGGCGCCGCACCCCAAGTACAAGCGCCGGGAGCGCATCAAGAAGAAGTACCAGGCGCACGACCCAGACAACCAGTTCAAGGTCGGCGACGTCGTCGAGCTCCGCCCCTCCCGCCCCATCTCCAAGACCAAGCATTTCCTCGCCATCCCGCTCCCGCCCCGCGACACCCGCCGCAAGTCCCAGCTCCTTCCGCCGCTCCAGTCCCAGGCCGACGACGACGACCAGGCGCCGCCGCCGTCGCCCTCGCCCTCCTCCGAGTGATTGATTACTGCCACCTATTCAATTGGCTTGCCTAGCTAGCTTACTGTAACGTCGTCGTATCGTATCAGCTCCTCTGAATCAAAGGTCGAATGCTTGTTTATTTGCTGCTTCCCAATTCCAATGCTCCTCCTATGATCCATATGATCCATGCCCAGAGTCATGTACTTTTTGTCTGCAAATTTTCTGTAATACAAGAGATTCTTTTTTTTTTCTCCCTACCGTGCCTTAGTCACGTTTTTCATTACAGAGTATAAGGGGCAATGATGATTACCCACCTACTTACTGGGTGCTATTACATAGACATTTTTGCGACTCTAGAAAACGGCTTTACTACTCCATCTTGGAGCAGCGCAACCAACGTGCCTAGCTTGGGGCGGCCATCGTCCACTCCCTTGCCTATTTTTGAAATTGTCAAAAGTGGATAACGAACTCCTGCATCATATTTATATCGTCAAGACGGCCGGAGCATATTTGGATTATCGCATCTTGAGTACGAATGAAGAAAACAACTTCGGGGGCTAACCCAGCCGAAATTGGGTTAACTTGACTTTCTCAAATGCAAGAATGTAGGGCACCATTGCGATCCTCCCGGCGAGCTAATTGAAGAACATATATGGATCGGCTCGTTTGGAGTCTGAATGAATTAATTATGAATTTCGAAAAAATTTACCGAAAACCTACAGAGCTCTAGAACGGATCTTAAACGCGTTTTTGATGCGATTTGGAAGGGGCTTCAACTCCATGAGGAATAAGGCCACCCCACCTTATAAATATAAGGGTCATGGCCGATTGAGGTGTCCAACATATGCAATCGAAAATCAATCTACTCTCTTTTTGCCCTAAAATCTCTCCTAACCCCACCTTATAAATATAAGGGTTGCTTTCATCGCTTGATCCGACAACCAAGGATGGTGCCCTAGGCTTGCTGGCTGACCTAGGACAACCCGGTGACACCCTTGTCCCGACAGGGTCCCTCTCGGGCGAGAGCTTCAACGGTTTCTTCGCTAGCTTGCCCAGAAACTAGCTGTTCTTCGTGACGCAAGCATGATTGGTTACCCTTTGGTGGTTTGCTCGTAAACCTCTCCTTTCTTCATCACATGATATCCTCGCTGCCCTAGGGATTCTCTCGGTCTCAACCCGTGAAGGCTAGCTAGGCTGATTCCCCAAATCAGTTAGGCTGGTTTTGGCCGAATCCTGCCACCTCGGTCCATTTGCGACCCGTGCGATCTAGCCCTCCTCCGAGTGATTGTGGCTTGACTAGCTAGCTTATTGTAATGTCGTCGTATTGTACTAGCTCCTCTCAATCAAAGGCCCAATGCTTAGGTACAGTGCTTGATTTATTTGCTGCTTCTGAACTCCAATGCTCCTCCTCCGATCCATACCCGGTGGTGCGAACTTGGGTTTGTCTGCAAATTTTGTATAATAAGGGACCTTGTTTCACTTTCAATTTTCTATAAGGGATCCGTTTCACTTTCATTTTGCCAATGGCAAGGTATATGTTTCGCTTTATCATTCATCTATGTTCGGTTTCATTTGTTTTGATGCTCGACAAACAATGCACCTAACCCTGCCTCTTTCCCTTCTTCCTCTTCTCCTCTTCCTCTCCTTCGCCCACACCCTCCTTTGCCCCTCTCCCTATCACGCCCTCCCCTGACCCTCCCCTGTCAGTTGTGCTGGGTGGAACGTGGAGCGTTGGATTAGCAGGTAGATAGCTGTACGTTCCCTTCCCGATTCTATATTTTGTTTTCAGTGATGACCTCATTGACTTCAATCTTTCCAAATTCCACTTGGTTAAGACTTGTCTTGTATTGTGGTGTCTTCTCATGGTCTGGACTTCCTCGCATAGTTTTCCTATGTATGGATAAGCGCCCACAGCTCTGTTGTTAGAGCTCTTGAGTACTCGACGCCTCGAAGGCTTCTTTGGACCTCATGGTACAATGATTTTCAGCCCGAGTGTCTCACAGAAGACTATATTACCCTTCTCACTGCCATCTCCAACTCATGCTCCAGTTGACCACTTAGTTCCTACTTAATTACTGTTGGAATACCCTTGCCATCGATACCAATCTCAACCAGATCTTCGAAACTGGAGAAGTTGTCTTAGAACTGATAACTATTTCATACCATTAAGGACGTCCTAAGTAATTCTAGAAATTCTTGTAGCAATCAAAATATCCGACAACCTATTTGGAAGACTCTAATCGATAAAAAATATCGGGGTATTTCTATTTTTTAAACAAATAGCTATTGGGACGGGGGTTCAGAGCAGGTTGGAGAGGATGGAGAAGTTGTCTTAGAACCGATAACTATTTCATACCATTAAGAGTATCCTAAGTAATTGTGGGGGGTATAACCCCAAGTACCCACGGCAAGGGACATGGGCCGCACGGTCAGGGACGGTCCAACCCACAAGATTCAAGACTTGCGGTGCACATCACTGGTCGGCGTACACCGCAAGGCATCTTAAAGATAGATCTGATCGGATACTATAGATATTGTAATCCAAATAGAATACTTACCATGTAACCGAATATGATACTTTCCTTGTAACCCTACCCCTCCAGAGCATATAAGGAGAGGCAGGGGTCCCCTAGTCGACATTCCCATATGGATCTAGGCTTAGCCTAAGGCATCAGATCACACGCAATATCATACGATAGCCAATACAAACCAACAGACCACAGGAGTAAGGTATTACGTCGTGTAGACGGCCCGAACCTGTCTAACTCTTGTGTCTCTGTTGCCTTCTTATTCTTGATTACGTGCACCTCTGTCGATCAATCTACCTTCGTGGGATATCCCTCGGAGGACTACCGATGATATTCTATCAACAGTTGGCGCGCCAGGTAGGGGTGTGCGTGTTGTTTCCATAACGAACAAGATGGTACACTTTTCAGGCTCTTCATCTTCTCCAAAGCTCGGCCAGACCTTTACGGTCGGATCAATCTCCTGGGTCATCAATGCTGAAGGAGATGGAGAGATCATTAAGCCGGTGTAGATCAATTCTGCGTCGACCACACCAACACCCGCAACAGCAGATCCGATCGCGGAACCGCCTTCAAGTCGCCTTCACCAACAACTCATCGCCTGCTGCCCGCTACTCGAGGAAGAAGGTCGGCAACGACGATCTGATCGCATCCATCGATCAAGTCGGCCAGAAGCTCGCCAGCTGCCTCTCCCTCACGGAATCGGCTCTGACCACTCCGGTTTGGCGCCGACCACCTTCCGATTCCGATCTATCGGAAGCCGATCGGGAAACTCCAGGGGATACGACCACCATCCATCAGGA